TCAAAGATACTACTTGGTTTCAATAAGAAAGAAAGAAAGAAAGAAAGAAAGAAAGAAAGAAAGAAAGAAAGAAAGAAAGAAAGAAAAGAAAAGAAAAGAAAAGAAAGAAATGTTTAAATCCCCTACCAAAACCTCAGAAATAATGCACTATTTCAGTTTGATTCTGTACAAAGAGACATCAAAGATACTACTTGGTTTCAATAAGAAAGAAAGAAAGAACGAAAAATTAAAAGAAAGAAAGAAAGAAAAAAAGAAAAGAAAAGAAAAGAAAAGAAAGAAATGTTTAAATCCCCTACCAAAACCTCATAAATAATGCACTATTTCAATTTGATTCTGAACAAAGAGACATCAAAGATAGTACTTGGTTTCAATAAGAAGGAAAGAAAGAAAGAAAGAAAGAACTGTTCAAGGTTCTCTACCATTAACTCATAAATAATGGCCTATTCCATTTTGATTGTGTGGAAAGACATATCAAAGAAAGAAAGAAAGGAAGAAAGAAAGAAAGAAGAGAAGAGAAGAGAAGAGAGAAATGTTTAAAGTCTTCTACCATTTCCTATATTCTCTTCTATACATCCGTGGGGCATTCCAGAAGTTTTGAGATTTTTTAGAAGAGCCAGTTAACTCTGTCATAGAGTACTGCAATATTAGTCAACCATTACTGTGTCTTTGTAGCATGGAAAATAGTAGCCGAAACAAAAGTGAAAATGTTGTGACAAAGTTGAACATTTTTTTAATCACGCGTTTCACCAGAGAAAAGCTTATGGTCTTGTTGTCGTCATCATTTCGACGAAAAAAAGAAAGACAAAACTAAGTGTTAAGCGATCGTCTCTGAAGATCAATCGGTTGTCGCAAATCACATTAATAACTTTAGCTTATCACATCTGAAGAGAGTCTAAATGTCTATGCTTGTCTGTTTTATTGATATCTGTATCAGAGCCGTTTGGCATTGCAGGATTTTAATTCAGGGACTTTTATTATTTTTTGCACAAACATATATACCTACATACGCATAAAACCTTGTATACGTTCACATATGTAGATACATATGTACATACATCATCATCGCTTGGCTTTGCAAAACGATGATCACGAGAAAGTCTGTACACGTCCCTTGCAGGTACGTTTGTGACTGATAAGTCCAATGCAGGAGAGGAATACACGATCGCAGTAGTTGCAGATGAAAGTCTGACCTGGGCTCGAAGGCACAGCATTGCAGTACTACCTCCTCTGCCTCTTATCCCCTGAGAGTGGTCCTGCGGGTATTTTCAAAGATGGAGACAGTATGGTTAGTGGTGAGACGTCAGGTATCACGGTTCTCTGCTAGGGTTGACCATTGGTAATGGTTCATGTGACAGGCAACAAAGGATTTTTTTCAGGTAATCTTTGAATCGCTTCTTTGATGTCTCTCTCTCATGATACCCAGTGGAGAGCTCACTGTACAATAAAATTTTAGGCAGGCGATGATTCTCCATCCTGGAAACAGGTCCAGCCCAGCGTAACTGAGACTTCAGTAGGATGGCCTCAATGGTAATGACTTTCGCCTTTTCGAAGACTTCAGTATTGGAGACGAAGTCACTTCAGTGTATCTTAAGGATCGTGCGGGGGCAGAGATGGTGGAACCGTTCAAGGAGTCGCAGGTGGTGTCGGTAAATGGCCCATCTGAACCGCATAGAAGAGTGTACATACATATACGCACACAATACAGACATACATATATACATTCTTACATATGTTTGCTATACATACACCTAGGCATATACGTATTAGAACCCATTTTTATAACATTACTATACATCGAATAAGCAGACCAGCCAACTTCTGTTATTCCAGATTGAAGGAGGCGATTGTGACCGCTCTTTGGACTCGCCCTCCTAAACACTGCTTGTCACAATTGACTAGTTTGCAGAATGCAGTCAGGACGTGAAGACAATTTCGAAGCTTGTTATGGAGTAATGTTTTATATTAAACTGGACTAAAACGCTACAGAAACTTGTGAAATGCTCCAGGTTGCTTATAGATTGACGGGCCGAGCATCTTTTTACGGACAGACACAAGAAGCTCAAGGACTGTAGAGATGAGGGGGAGAGACGATGAAAGAGGGACGTCAGGATATCAGAGCTAGTTGGGAAAATTCGCAATGTTTTAGTTGAAAATCTGTGTGTGTGTGTGTGTGGGTGTGTGAAGACAATAAGCATACAGTTTGGAGTTGGTGTGGCAACTGTACGCAGAATTATTCATGAAGACCAGAACATGCGCGAAATATGTGCAAAGACGCGTTGGTGACAGCAAAAAGATGGTTGAACTGATTACCGTCAATGCATGAGTACTTGAGCTGTCTGGTGAAGATGATGGAACATCGCCAATTATGCTTGTGTTTCACACGATTAAGGCTCAAGTTCAGTGGCTTTCAGTGGCTATTCCACATGCTTTTCTAAGATGTACTTGTTTGATATATATATATATTAAAAACTAGGAATTTATTGTTTTTAATTTTATTAGTTTCTAAAGCCCTTTCAACCAACATCTCATCAGGAGACAATCGTTGGATAAATAATTAACGAAAAGAACAGTAACGAAAATGAATACGGCTAGTTCCAAAAATCATTTGAAGATTTTGGAATCAGTCTGTATAGGATTAAGGAAACCTTCTCTCTGTCGACAGAAAGAATTTGTAAAGTCTCTTAATCTGCTGGGGGATATTTTATTTTAACTGTCCCACGCTAATTTATTTACACGTTATTTCCCCTTCCCTCGTTACAAGTATATACACTTGTATGTTATTTTAGTGTGTTTCCCCCTTCTTCTTTTTTTCTCTTCATTTTCGTTACTCTTCTTTTCACTAATTACTTATCCAACGATTGTCTCCTGATGAGATGTTGTTTGAAAGGGCCTTAGAGACAAATAAAATTAAAAACAATAAATTCCTAGTTTTTAATATATATATATATATATATATATATATATATATATATATACTTTCGGCCTTGTCCCACATCTAAGCTACGATAGGAAAATCACTATATATATAACTTAAGTTAGATCTACTGTTAGGACCCAGAGACTAAGAGACAGAGTGCCCAATGAAATCAAGCCTACTGAGTTATCCAGACCCCACAAAAGGCCAGGCGAAGCTTTTTGACAGCGCGGGTAATGATGCGATTCTGCCCGTCACTGTGATAACATCCAAATTCGGCTGTATGCGAAGACACCGGGCTCTCGCTTTGTTCCACAGGGCGATGATCGACGTCAACAAACAATAACGACAAATGCTTTTCAAGAAACATGTTTCATCGAAAATTAGCGGAAAAATATACGATTTCTCACTTAATCGGCAATGTGTTCCTTCTGCTTCAAGAAGGCGAACTTTTGGTATCCCATTAACTTCCGGCCACAGAAAAAGGACCCCTACATACTCACTGCCTAGCCATTTCATTGACCAACGGCCGTTTAACTGACTCCCTGCCGCTTTAATCACTGCCGTTTCATAGACTGCCGGTCCTTTTACTGAGCACTCATTATATGGATACTGGCTAGTGTGGAGCACCATCCCTTTCCGTCCACATGTGTTCGACCAACCGGAAAAGGGAGACCATCCAAACACCTTTTGGGTGGTCAGTTTTATCAAAGGACCCTACTTTTAGGCTTATCCAAAATCAATAGCAAAATTCAAAGGTGATGGCAGGTTTTATGAAAAATCCTGGCCATTCAATTTACTCAAAGATGGGCTGGAGATAAGATTTCTGAGAACTCCTGCTCATTAAATTGACTTAAAAGAAAAAATAATTTATCCACCGTAATTCCCCATGTATAATACGTCTTCATCCATAATACGCACACCTAAAATTGTGCTGAATGTGTGGGAAAATGCTTCTACTCACGCATAATACGCACCCCTTGTTTGGTAATCAAACCCTATAAATTTTACCTCTCCAATTTCATTACGGCCAGGGTTTCCTGCTCTTATTTAAAAGATAGTTTTAAACATAGAATAATATTATTCTAATTTAGCTTTATGATAATTCTTATTTTACGGCAATGTTTTAAAGATTTTTTTGTAGTTGTGCATAATACGCACCCCTGATTTTGCTTATTATATTTTTAAAAAAACTGCGCATTATATATGGGGAATTATGGTATTTATTTCCTAAAGATGTTTGAGAAATCATATTGCGACACTATGCTCTATATTTACTGGGTTTCCTCTGGGCAGACGTTCAACAAAGAGTACTTTGTGAGGTTTTTGAGGGAGTTCAGGCAAAGATTTCACCGTTTTCTGCTTCCTATTTGCATGCAATATATATATATATATATATATATATATATATATATATATATATTAACAACTTGTTATTTTTATTTATTTCGTATTTGAATGATAACAATATATTTCTTTGAAGTCATTGTGTTTGGTGTTATAATTCTAAAATGTAATGTCGTTTGTGGCACCATGTAAACAGGGATTCTGTGTCGATTAATTACTAAATATATTTACATATTCCTTCCTCAGATGAATGCTATTTAGTTTAATGGAGTTTGTTTTACGGTAATGGCGTCAAGTGTTTGTAGCCTTTTTTTACAGTTAATGTTGTATAATACCTTTGTATTGTTTATTGTTGCCTAATATTTATAGAAATATAATGGCCTTATCTGACACAATGATTAATATTATCTTTTTTATGGTACCCTTGTCTGATAAATTGCGTGCTAGTCGACATAAAAGCATTGTAGTCGTTTGACCAATGTACGATATTAGAGGCGTCTTTTTTTTTCTTTTATTAACATTGGAGATAGAATCAACCAATGGTTAACAGAATTCTTATATATTATTACATTGATCTTATTTAATAGGGGTCTTTGGGATCGGTATTATTATACAGGCAGACATTTTTTTTTATTCATTTTACAATAGATGGTTAACAATATTGCAGATATTTGGCGACGTGTATTTAATTTTTTACGTATTTTACGTGGCTATTTCATTTTGTTTGTAGTTTTGAGACATGTGGTTGCAGTTAATTTTTGTTAACTATTTAGACTCCCAGTTTCTTTATATTTCTTTCTTTCTTTTCTTTTACGGCTTTTCTTTCCTTCTTTGGTTATTTTTCTTGCGTTTTACGTTTGTTTTACATCGTTTATTCATTCATGGAATTGTTTCATTAATATTTTTATTCATTCATTCATATTTTCCGTATTCGTTCGTTCGTTCGTTCTTTCTTGCTTTCTTTCTTTTTGTTCTTTTTCCGTTACGTCTATTCTTTCTTTTTTTTAATTCTTTCGTCCTTCCTTCTTTCTTTCATTCTTTCGTCCTTCCTTCTTTCTTTCATTCTTTTTAATTCGGTTCATTCGTTTCTTTTGATTTAAGTCTTTTCTTTCTTTCTTATTTCATTCATTTTTTCCTTTTTTTTCTTTCTTCCTTTCTTTTCTTTCTTTCTTTATTTTCTATCGGCCCATTTGTTTCTTTTGCTTCAAATCTATTTTTTCTTCTTTCCTTCCTTCTTTCTTTTCTTCTCTTCTTCCTTTCTTCGTTTCTTCCCTTCTTTTCTTTCTTTCTTTAATTATTTTATTTCGATTCATTCGTTAATTTTGCTTTAAGTACACTCCTTTTTTCTTTCTTTCTTTGTACTTCTTCTTACTGATTTAATTTTTGTTTTCCCTGTTCATTGCTTAAACGTCTTTTCTTTCTTTCTTTCTTTCTTTCTTTCTTTCTTTCTTTCTTTGTACTTCTTACTGATTTACTATATTTGTTTTCCCCATTTATTGCTTATGCGTCTATTCTTTCTTTCTTTCCTTCCTTCCTTCCTTCCTTTCTTTCTTCTTACCTTCCTTCCTTCTTTCTTTCTTTCTTTTTTCCGTCCTTCCTTCGTTGCTTGATTGCTTTCTTTCTTTGTACTTCTTACTGATTTACTGTAAATGTTTTCCCCGTTTATTGCTTACACGTCTATTTTTTCTTTTTTTTCTTTCTTTCTTTCTTTCCTTCCTTCCTTTCTTTCTTTCTTTCTTTCATTCTTGCTTGCTTGCTTGCTTTCTTTCTTTCTTTCTTTGTATTTACTGATTTACTATATTTGTTTTCCCCGTTTATTGCTTACACGTCTATTCTTTCTTTCTTTCTTTCTTTCTTTCTTTCTTTCTTTTTTTCTCTCTTTCTTTCTTTCTTTCTTTCCTTCCTTCCTTCCTTCTTTGCTTTCTTCCTACCTTCCCTCTTTCTTTCTTTCTTTCTTTCTTTCTTTCTTTCATTCTTTGGAATTCTTCTTACTGATTTTAATTTACTTAATCTTTGTTTTCCCCGTTTATTGCTTACACATCTATTCTTTTTTTCTTTCTTTTTTTCTTTCTTTTTTTCTTTCTTTCTTTCTTTCTTTCTTCTTTCCTTCCTTCTTTCTTTCTTTCTTTCTTTCTTTATTTTCGTTCGGATTTTTTTTTTGCTTTTTTTTTTGCTTTAAGTCTCAATAAAGTTTGAAATCACTAAAATGGCTTGCGAAATCACCAAGCAGTTCGTGAATTTTCTTCACTCATGATGAACTGTTGCAGTTCCTTGTTTTAAATATCTATTCGGACTGAAATTCTCCCTGGGCCTTATATATATGATCCGTCGCTGAAGATACTTGAAAAAAAGGTCGGCTCCTTCTACTGCTGCTACTTTTAGTTGTTGTATCGATCAATATATGTTGTGGCGTAATGGACATCGGCTCGGAATGAGCAATCGAAGAGCCGAGTTCGAATTCCAGTCGCATTCAATACATTTACTTACGCACAAAAACAAATCTATTTCTCCCCACCCCCCCACACACCACCACCATTGAGGAGATTATGTAGTAAGCCTTTGTGCCACACTTTGTCGAAGACCTTTGAGATATCTAGTGTTTACCGTCAAGAGCGTCACTAATTCTGTGTATGATGGTAGTTAGGACTTCAGCAGTGGATGGAGCCGACAGAAACCCGTAATGCTGGTTGTTCTTTTCGATGTGCTTCACGACCCTCCTATTGATTATGACTTCAATAAGCTTGCTGATGACGTTGAGGAGACTGATAGGCCTGTACCGGAAGTGGGAAGATCGCACGATCGCGTTCTTGTAAACTGAGCATACGTTTGATACTTTTCACGGGCTTGGAAAGGACTTCTTCAAGCAGCGGTTAAATAACTTTGTGAGGATTGGGGATAAATCCGGGTTGAGGTTCTTAAGGACAATCACTGGAATTCTTTTTGTACCAGTAGGTTTCTAAAGGTCAAGGCCTTTGATAACTCTGGCGATTTCTCTTGCTGTGGTAGTAATATTACTGACATTTTGCTCGGTGAAACGTGGGAAATTTGTCATCTAACATTGAGAGCGAGGCGAAGAGGTTCTACTTATCTGCCGAGGAGGTTATGACCTCGGGGCCATTTGCAATTTTGAGCATGACTGCTTTACCTCTGTTCATGATTTGGTTGGTGGTCTTCCAGAATTCACAAAATCCAGTTTGTTTCTTTTCAGCTTTTGTCTGGATTGCTCGGGCATAGATGCACTTGGCGTTTTCTAGAACATTTTTTGCAGTGATTGCGGGCAGTTGGGAATGCAGTGAGGGCCGAACCATATCGTCCCTTGCGATAGAAATTGAAGTAATGGTTTCGGTGAGTTACGTCTACAGTGCATCCAGGGGTGACCGGGTTGACTGTTTGGTTTGTGCTAGAAGTTAAGGCAATTGTACTCCTCCTTGGGTCAGAAACACCCTGCCGGCCCGATAGATAAAAGTACCGGAACAAGATCATGTGCTTGGAGACTAAGATACCCAGTGTGAAAGGAGGTAACATGGGTTGCTCAGGGATGTATGTTCACCCCCTACCGCCATTCGTATGTATAGTGGATGGTTAAAAGTCTGGTGGCCCGCAAAGGGCAAGTTATCTATTCACAAAAAAAAAACAGGTTTACAAAAGAGAAGCATTATGAATTAGTCAGTCAGTTATACGCCATGTGTGACACACTCTTAAGTGATTATGTATCTTTTAATACATGACTGACGAGGCAGATTTTTTTCCGCATTAGGTTGCTATTTCTTTCTGCGGTAAACCAGTTGCCAACCAAAGCTATAGAACCCGGTCTGTCTTGCTATTCATTCATAGTTGGAAGCAGAAGAGAATTTATACCTTTCCTAAGGGTATTAGCACGTAAATGAATGTATTGGATTCGACTGGAATTCGAACTCTGCTCGCCGATTCCTCAGTCCGAGCCATTATGCATTACTCCACCGTGCCTCCACCTTAGTATGGTAGATGGTTAAAAGGGAAGGCGGTCTGCAAAGGGTAAGTTACCTATTCACGAGAAAAATTCAGGCTTACAAAGGAGAAGCATTATGGATCAAAGGGAGTATTATGGACAGGGGATAGGAAACAGCTATAGAGTTTTAAGGGCTTTAAATTAGAATCCAACGTAACACAGACATTTAAGGGAAAAGAACACCGAAATTTAAAGAAAAATAAATTAAATTAAAAAAAAAGGCAACATGAGCATAAAATAAAAAAATGTTAAGCGGAAAGACATTGTCAAAAACATACGACAGGACAGGAAAAGAATTTTATGGGGGTGAGATTTTGACCAAATGTAAAGCGGAGGCAGAATATCATTGGCGCTTTCGTGAGACGAAGAAAGAAGTTTTATTGGCCGAGAACAACTACCTTACTAGTATTGTTGCGGGGGTAAAAAATCGATTTTATTTTGGGGGGTGCCATTTTACAGTTTTCTTTTTTTTTCCTCTGAATTTTTCTATAAATATACCACTCTCCTTCTCGATATTTAATTTTTAATTTCATCAAAAGTCTTAAGAAAGATATAAACTCAAAAGAAAAAAAAAGATGTCAAATTATTGAATGATCTGAATACGACTTTGAAAATTGCAAAAAATAAATAAATAGAGATTTCAGAACAGCAAAGAAAATATAAACATTGACAAGGAAAAGTACTTGAAAAATGTCATCAAAAAAAGGAAGATCATTTATAAGCAAGAAAAAGATATTTACTAGTAAGAAAATAATTGAAGCTGATGAAAGCGGAAAAAATATACATAACATCAAAAACATGGCTAGTAACATTAAGGCAACCTCACTACTCCTTTTATGTAAATTTTACAAAAAGAGAAACGTGTTCATTGTTAAAGTAAATGAACGATAATTCTTTAAAATTTCTTTTCACAGATTAATATAGAGCTACATTGGATGAATCTGATATTCCTACCTGTCTATTGTCTTGTCTCTTGTACAAAGTGGGCATCTATAAACCTTTTTCAATCACCTACGTTTACCTTTTAGACATTCGTGCAAACTAAAGCGTGAAGGTCCATGATTGTCTACGTCCTCAAGGAACACATAAAAGAAGAACTCAATTAAAACTTCCTCGTTATTCACATGTACTGTCTATAGTATTCTCAGCATTTGTCGGTAGAACCAGATATCTATCGTTTAAAGTCTCTTCATCTTCATTATATGTTACATCTCATCGAGTTGCTACACTGAAACTATTCACTGTAGCAGACAGAGAACTTTGCCTGGAGCGTTAAGGTTTCAAGGTTGTTAAGTGTGCATTAATCTTCAGGATTGTAACAAACTAGAAGATGCCCCATAGATTGTAATTGGCGGCATTGGCAATCGAGTTTATGATCGGTGGCATATCCTCGTTTCTGAAGTTTGGCTCCACAGGGATTAACAGCTGTTCGGAGGCGATCCAAGTAGCAGCAGAAGAGTCAGGCACCAATGGAACCGGTAGAGCTATTATGTATGGCTTAAAGAGAGCCTATATTCTATGTTGTTAAGATGGCTGCATCACAGGGACAGACATTGACTAGGATCTCTGTTATATAGTGGTTTGATTAAATGCATAAAGCTGTGTCTTGCCTTGAGCCCCTTTGTCATTAGTTCAAGGCAGTTGAGTGGATGACAAGGTTCCGTTACATTCTTTGACTTCTCAAGTTGGGAGTGGACTGTCTTTCTAGTGTAAAGGAGAATCAATGACGCTAAGCAAGTAGATGTAATCTATTTTGAGACATATATTGATTGATCTGCAAGAGGCGCTTAAGGTAGGGCCGATTTTCTTTTCATGCGATGATCTGCTTCCCACTGGTGAGGCATGTCCTGATGTTGGGTAGCAAAGTGGCGCGGACTGCACAGTCATGGGCACCCCATTTGGTGTTAGCCATCTTTTTTAGGATGTTTTTACTTGATACGACCTTCGTTTTATTCTTTGCAATGTGGTCATTTTATGTAAGAGACATGAAAGTCCAGTATTCTTTTCTTTATTTGAAAGGTTCTTACGACCTTTATGTAAACTTTATGAAGAGAAACCTGGGCGAAGTAGTACATAAAAGCTAATTCCACAATAGTGATTATTACTGGTAAATATAGAGCTACATTGGATGAATCTGATGGCTGGGTTAGAGTTTAAATCCTTCACGAAAATAATCAAGCATCATAGTTTAAAATGCAAGAACGGGATATTTTGTCACTGTTATTGGAGGCAGTAAAATTATAATTCCTTTCATAGTTAATTACATTTCACGGTCAATGAAGAGAATAATTGTAAGTTCATAGAAAATAATTGCTGATTTTTTTTTTTTTTTTTTTTTTGAGTGGCCCAGATCACTACCAGGAAGCTTCAAGCTAAAAATTATATTAATTCATGGCAATATGCCTTAATATTTTGCAAGTCTGACTATTGACCCAATAAATGGAATAGCTATCATGTCATCCCAAGCAAAACAATAAGGCCACTGAGATTCAAGTGGTTACTGTGTTACAGAATATGAAAAAGAAAACACTATTAAAAGGAGAGATCTGTAAAGGAATAAGAATTAAGAAGACAAAAGATAAACCTTGACATTGCACTTAAATTTTTGAAGATCAAAAGAAG